CCAACATTGGGTGACTATCAATTTTAGTTGGATCAATAATATAATATTGAACCTTGCATTCCATGCCATGCATAAGGCCCACCAACTCATTGACCTGGACTATCCAATAATTAGCCTTTGTAATATGAAAATGTACCTAGCAGACATTATTATAGCAGGAATGCTCTCTTCTTCCATTAAACTTAGTGGCATCTCTTCTATATTTCCATGGCATGCATAATCTCTTCAATTTCCATTTCAAGATTTACAAGGGTGCAGGGCAGAACCCACTTGTCTGGTTAGCATTAAAACCAGAACCCCCTTCATCCTCTCTACCTTCAAAGCTTCCAAAATCAAATTATTCATTAGTACCTCTTCCACCCCACTTATCCAAAAAATGGCCCAAGCAATAAACTCTTGAAACTCAGCATACCCAATTTACTTTGAATTCTCTGATCCCCTGATCTTTGTTTTCTCTCCCCCTTTTTTATTATTATTATTATTTTTATTTTTTTTGCAGAGTTGCTTGCAAGAAGACTGGTGGGATAAGGTTCATCAAACCATGTGGTGAATAAGTGATAGTAATTAATTGTGCATTTTTTAACCTTACTTTGGGGAAGGGACCTGACCATTTCTACATCACTCTTCTCTACATCGTGGAATCGGGCTGGTGAGACACAAAATTGTTTGTTCATCTTTGATTTGTTATTCACATTCTCAGTTTGGAGCTTATTCCTGAGTCGACTCTTAGGATGAGCGTGAATGAAGTTGGATAGACCACTGTATCTTTGAAATTTTGATTATTTAATTATTTGAACCGTTAAAAGACAAAAACAAGGAGTTTTTCGATTAAGTTCATGAGAGGTGGGGACAACACCTCTATGCTTGAGAAATGGGGAGTCTGGGGACAACACAAATGATTAGATAGGCACATGTTGGGACGAACATGAATAGGATTTTGGATACTATCCTACAAAACCTGATATTACAAAAGTACAACCTCTTACTGAGAGTTGACAACAGATCAGGTTCCTAACTCTTGATCTTACAAAACCTGAGCTTACAACCTGAAGATCAGTCTGTAAGATTTTGTAAGATCAGGCTCCTAACTGAAAAGTACCTTTGCTAGTTAGAGAATCTTACAAACTACAGAGTTAGTTTTGTAAGATTCTTTAACCGGCAGAAATCATGTCAAGAAGTAGAAGCTAATCTGACCATAGATTTCTTTAGTAATGCACATATATATTTCCTTGCTCTCTTACTCTTTGTGGATTCAGTAATACACCTTGCATATATATTTTTATGCATAATACAGTTGGAAGGGATGGATTGGACATGAACCCAATATTAGTATTTTAGCATGAAATGACCATTCTCACATTTAACAACTAATAATTTACCAACCAGGCAAGGTCTGGTCCTTTTTTATAAAATTATAGGAAGTGTTCAAAATAAGTCATCTCCCATTAAATTAAGATTACATAATTATTGTTGTCATTAGTTTAATTTGAATTTTAATGTTTTTTAGTAATAGTGAATAAGGAATAAATTGAATATTCATTTTCCTTTATTAGTCCTCTATCTTTATAGTTAAAATACTTGAATATAATTCTAATATTTATATGTTTTGATTTGCAGGTTCAATCAATATGCTAAGTGGATTTGCATTGAAAGATGTGCTGCATTATTAGAGAATTTTATTATTTTTTAAGTTCTTGTACTATTTATATGTCAATTGGATATTGTATTTGAACAATGTCTTTTGGATATTTTAATATATAATCTTTGAATTAACAGATTTCATTTTAAATTGATTTTTGTCAATAAAAAATTCATGTACCATAGAAATGCTACAATTAAGCGGGTACATACATTTTTTTAAAAAAAATAGGTATATGCTGGCGGTCATGTTCGTTGGCTTAGCTATCAACATGACCAAAAAAAGGTTAGAATTAAATGAAAAAAAAAATCTAAGCCGACGGTCATGAAACCGACAGTTTAGCCACAAACAACACATAAGGCAGTGGTCATCTAGCATATAAGTAGGCAATTCGGACTGCCACATAAGAACATGAGGGAGTTTGATATAAATCTAATGTGGCGGTCTAAACCGCCGCCTGATTAATGCTAAGCCGGCGGCTCGGTGTTACCGCCACTTTAGAGTAGTTTGAACCGACCACCTAAGGCGACAGTCTTGACCTAAGCCGGTAGAGGTTTAGGGGGCGGACAGAAGACCGCCGCCTTAGATCAAAGTCGGCTATCATGTAGTGGAAGTTTAGATTATGGGTGTAAATGGATCGAATTCGAATAAGATCAAGCAATATTCAAATTTGAATCTGATTTAAAAATTCAATATCTGAATTCGATTCGATATCCGATGGATATTGAAAAATAATATTCGATTCAATTTGAATTTGACTAATTAATTGTTTTAAGTAATTAATAAATATATAAAATAACTATTTTATTTATATAAAGTATATAAATATATAAAATATTTATATAATTTAATTATTGTATATAAATTATATAAAACATTTAAAAATTTTATATATTATATATAAGAATTAAATAAGCGATTGAATCTGGATATTTATTGAAATGAATTAGGTCATATTCGATTTCGAATCCGATTAGCTATTTGATATGAATAGGATATTCGAATTCAATCGATTAGATATTCAAATTGTCTAAATTCGATTTGATTATATCGAATCTCAAATTCAAAATGGATTTTCGAATGCCATTGACACCACTAATTCAGATTTCTTCTTCTTTCATTATATATACATATATATATATATATATATATATATATATATTAAAATGGAAAAGGTCTTACTTAGGACGATGTGGCTTCTTGTTCTTGCAATAAATGGTATCCACACATGAATTTTCTTTCATTGTGCAAATAGATGAGAAATAAGATATTGGGATTGAAATTCACATGTTTATGTTTTGTCTTTTTTCATTTATGGTTGAATCACGTGTAAAGGTTGAAGGTGTGACGTATCAAATACCAGAACCGCCTTTGAACACTGATTAACAAAAGTATACACTAGTTTCCTCTTCACCCCTGATCTATTGTTTGGCGCCAATCACCTTGTGGTACTTTGAATACAGAGTTACAATGCTCCACCAGAGAACAATACCCATAAACTATTGGCTCCGTCGTCATTTCATGGTTGACTCCAAGCCAACTTCATCTTCCTCTCAGGTTCTAGCTTTATCTCCTCCTATAATTAAGCTCCGCTCTAATTAATGACTCTATCTGATCACTCGTCAACCGTCTCTTCCTCTCCTGGTTATTGATATTATTGATATCATGATTATTACCATTATTGTTGTTACTCATCATCGGTGCCCACCTCAGCATAGCTGTCTCCCCCTCCGGACGATGCTTCACCTCCATTCCTGATAAAAGAAAATCAAATACACATTACCCAAGTGCAGATTGCAGAATAATATTATAAGAAGAGCTAGAGAGTGAGGGACCGGCAAAGGTGAAACCTATTACCCACCCGGAAATGGGTGGTCGTCATCATAGTCGTATAGGAAGGTGGAGTCTGGTGGTCTACTCTAGATGAAAAGGGTCTAATGTTGCTGTCCATTTTTTTTTGGTCTGTCAAGCTATAGCTATTGAATCAAGATGGAGCCCTTCTCCATTGATGGAAAATGGGGTAAAGTGGGGACAAAGATTCTTAGCTTCTCTCTATCTCTTTGCTTGAGTTATGAAAGTGATCATAATTCAGAAGGGAAGGCTCTCATGGAGTAAACCACCTCTTGGAGATCCACAATGTAATTCATTAACTGGGTTTAAATATAAGACACCAAAATAGTTGTGAAATCATTCAAGCCAATGACTGGTATGCAGACGGGGTTTCTACTTTCTCATGGGTTACCCAATAAAAGCGCTTATGAGTTATGAGATCACTAATGCTCGCGTGTATTTGTGTGGCAAGGGGTCTCTCCTGCTGTCATGCTTTGGTTGGTTTTAATGGTATGGAGTGAAGGCTCAGTTATGGGAAGTGCAGAGAGGGAGGATCTTGAGTCACTCCAAAGCCACAACAGCCCCAAAAGACCTCGAGCCACAAATTTAAGAACTAGGTGGTACAAAAGGGATTACTGAATGATGAAACTCTCTTTCGATTTGTTTGTACGTGTGTTGTTCTTCTTTCTCCCACTACTTCTGAGTCCTTCCCATCATTAATTAATCTGACTCTTTTTCTTTGTTTAATTGTTTATAGGGTGTTTTTCTTTCTTGAGAGCAATTAAAATCAACCGGTTGACAACTACAACTTGCAAAGAAATTAAAAGAAGATGAAAAAAAGTAAAACAATTCTATAAAATTGGTAAATAATAGATAATTATTATATAATAATCCTATCAACTTAAAAGTAGACCTTCTATTTTATCCCTCACTCCCATGCTCAGCACGGTTCCTTTGCTAGTTCTATGTTAAACAAAGAGAAAGGGATTAGGGTTTTACAGATGACATTAAATTTTGCCATGGGATAATCTTCACGTTAAAGCTATGTTTGGTTTAAAGGAAAATGTAAGGAAACGAAGGAAAAGATAGAAAAATCTTTACAAACCTTGTATTAATTTTCCCGTCTTTCCCTCCCTTTTTCTACCTTTTCTTTCAAACCAAACATACCCTAAAATTATAAATTTTCCTTTTATTTTTTTTAATTATTACCGTTTAAATGATTCTCATATCTGAGTTAGAGTTCTATACAAATTCTGACGTGTCTCAATTTGATTGGGAATGCACCCCTGCACACAAGAGTGCACGTGGCAATTATTTTGTTTTAACACGGTCGTTTTTTGTTTCTTGACACGTGGCAATTTTTTCTGATTTGCCTGCGGTGAATCCCGTCTCGAACTGGCGTGGATTTCGAATAAACACATGGCAGATTGGGATAGTATTTTTCCGATGGACGGTTAGGATTAGCGAGAGCATTTGTCCAAGTGGGTGAAATACGTAGGGTCGTATATTAGCTACCTTCTTGACCCGGAATATAGGAGCCCTTTCTCAAGTTTACACTTTACTACCCATTTGTTAGGGTTTCTTATCGGGTAATCACCCCTGTGATTCATTTTGTATTTTCGCTCCGTCGCTCGGAGTCTGGACTCCTCGTAGGTCGTAGCACAGAGCAATTCGCAAGGTCGGTGCTTCCTGATTTCTGTTTCCCATCGTGTCTTCTATACAATCGTCTCACCCGGAGAGGTCTGGAGATCGGTTTCGTCGTGAGCTCTCGTTCATAGCGAAATTTCGATTTCTCACCTTGTCAATGGTTGAACGCATTGCTAAGTTATACTCCATATTCCGTTCCTTTACATGGATTTTTAGACGCGGTAGATGGAAAAGTTTTGATGTTTTACATTTAATGGTCGATGCGAGACCTCGGGTAAAATGGAGGCCGAAGCGACAGTTATTTGTATCGGCTCTTTTTGGATATTAGGGTTTTGGATTTTCGTTGTTGTTGGTGAAGTGCGTTTTGTTTAAATTTCTAGCGTTCTTTGGAATCTGGAGGTATTAGTTTGGGTTTCAGAGTTTGCTGGAGGCTTGCCTTTATTCTCCTCTTTCTCACACATTTGCTTTTATATTTCCTTCGACGAGATTTCACATCTATGTTTATGTTCATTTTAACTAAAACAATTTCAAACTACAATTCAACTAGTTGATATTCAGGATTAATATCGTTTTTTTAAACATTTTCTTATCGCTCTTGCTAGGGATTTTGGCTTCTGGCTCTTTTTTTCCCCTAATAAGTTTTTTTTTTTTTTTAATTTCTTATTTATCTAGTGTTCTTAACGGTTGGGGGTGCCGGGGGGGGGGAGGGTGTTGTGCTTTTAACTTCAGGTTTCCGTTGGCGTGCAGCTGATTCTTTGTAAGCTATGGTAACGTCGAAGGAGGGAAAAAGTAGTTTCTTTTGTTTCCCCTCCCCCTCTCAAATTTCTACACTTCCTTCCATTTGTTGGGTTTGGGGCTTCTGTTTTATTAAACTATATACGGCGGGTTAAAGTTTGAGTTAGGGATTTGGAGCCAACTGGAGATGGACTTGAATTTATATAGGTGGTTTGGTTTGTGGTGATTTGGACAGGAAGGAGCTATTGGTGGTTTTGATCGGTGGTTTCCAGAGTTGTTGTAGTTTTGGATCTCTATATCTGAAGAATTTAATTGGGATATTTTGTATTTCCTCGATATGAGTCCAGACAGCAGCAGGAGTCCTCCACGAGCTAGGCGGTTCCGCAGTGGCGAGCGTGCATCTTACCGTGATGCTCCCTATCGAAGGGATCGCCGCAGTTACAGGTCCGTAAATCTTATCAATGTCTTTCCAACCTTTATTGCTATTTTTCCCTTGTGATAATGTGATATTGTTGCACGGGTTCCCCTTGCTAGACTCTGGTTATTGGGTCTTATCATTTGGTCCTTTTCTTCCCCGTTCTGGCTTGCTTTCGCTTAGTTAAGTGATGATAAGAAACCATTAGTTGTTTACACCTGGACCATGAGGTCAAGTGAGATTGAAATTCATTTTCAATCATGATATTTATTTATGTTGATTTTTTCAACTGCTGTTTCTTAGAGTATTTATCTTCCTAATCAAGATAAAAATTCATTTTCAGTGAATACTGTATTGAATTTAGACAATGTCCATTATTCTGAAATTGCACCAAATCAATGCTTTAGTTTATCGTTAAAAGCACAGCAAAATTATAAGGTTCACTTTATTTCACCTGAAACAAAATGTTTGACCATTTCAAGTTGTACTTGTATAACACTATTTTATTTTAATAAGTGTTTTTAGAACATTATTGTATCATTTCCTTGGTTTTTGACTGGCATTTCAATAAACTGGATTGGATTTTAAATCTTTTATCTTGTTTCCATATATTTCGCAAGAGTGCAGAATGGTGCTTAGTCTACTAGGACCTATCCTTTATTTACTATAGTTATTCAATTCCTTTGTTGAATACTAGTCCATTGAATCACATTTTTTTCTTAATTTCAAATTCTCTTTTCTCTCTTCTTACATGTTCAATTTTCTCCTCGACTTTGTCATTTCTCTTTTTACTTTTCTGCTATTTTTCCTTTCTTTTCCTTTGCATTTTTTAATACCAAATTTCTGCAATCCTTTCTAACTAGTAAAAGAGTCATCCTCACTGGCTCTTTCTATTTACTTAACACACCATTAATTTCTATTTGAGCTCTTCTTCACCCATTTATAAATTTTTTTTTTGTACTTGTTTTCATTTGATTATTTAATCTCTTTATGTTCTGCCCAGCTTGCTCTGTTGGGAAAACCAAAGGCAGATTTCAAACTAATAAATTGAGGGCTTTGTGGCCTGTTTCTAGCTTGTTTAGAGCCCATTTCACCCAACAATATGATGAATCGGCTGATACATAACCAGTGATTTAAAAGGTGCGCCTAGGCGAGGTGCATTTTAGGGTATGCGCCTCGCCTAGGTCCTAGGCGCAGCTCTTTCAAAAGGCACACACCTGGTGCGCCTAGTGCACTTTGCGCCTCAGGCGTGGCACAAAGGCAACTCATTAAAATTATAAATTTTTTCTTAAAAAGCAATTAAAATTATAAATTCATTATTTTTTTTTGTGTGAGAACTAAGATTTAACACCTAACGTGAACTTCTTTGGGCTTGCCTTGAGGGGCATGGCACAAAGGCGGCTCGTAGAATCAGGAATGTAATATGTTTTACATTACATTAGCTACTTGAAGTATGCAATTGAGTGAAAAAAGAGATTAGAGGTTTTACATGCTTGAAAATGTTTTATATGTTTGATTTTAATTTTTAAGTTCTCATTTGAATATGCTTTACATCTAATGTTTATTTATTAATATTATGTTTAATATTTTTTGTTTCTTTGAATTTTTTTGGCATTTTTTTAATTTTCTGACATTTTTCTTGATTTTTTAGCATTTTTTTAAATTTTTGTGCCTTGCGTCAAAAAGGCGTGTGCTTTACTTTGCGCCTTGTGCCTCGGGCGCAAATTGACCTCTGCACCTTGCGCTTTTAAAACACTGTACATAACAAAATTTCGAACCTTGATGCAAGTCTAAATGGAGAGACAATTTCCCAATGTTCTTCTGGAGAAGGTCACAAGTATTTATTCTCTTCAAGCAGGCTTCGAAAAAACTATGGGACAAATGTGGGATTACCATATCTTCTTAGAATGAAAGGAGGTATTTTGCTCACCTGCAATCAAAGCCTTGAAAAGATATGGATGAGAACATACCAGCTGGTGGACTTGAATGAGGGGCTAATGGCCTCTCTTAAGCTCTTGCTGGAAAAGAAAGGTTTATAAATTGCAAACCCCCTCCCCTAGTCTCTCTTAAGCTCTTTGCTGGAAAAGAAAGGTTTATAAATTGCAATCCTCCTCCCCTTTCATGTGAGGGGAAACCTTTTGGTCAGACTGGAAACTGCTTTTACACCAAAAATACCAACTTGTGTTAGTATATGTTCCATTTGGCATATCTGTTGTGGCCCATCCCTTGCTCTTCTAGACCCTATAACAGGTCATTTCTATTTATTGGGGCTGTAGATGATGGTATTCTCTGCACTTGACTAAACTATCTTAGTCTACTTTTCCTCACTTTGTCACCTATCGGGGCTACTCCTAGTTTCTTATCTAATTTCTATCTTTTTTTGTTTTCCTATTTATCCATCTGAACATTTCCAGTTTTGTCATTCTCATTTTTTGACATATGACGTTACAATTGGCTGCATATGATATTACAGTTACTGGCCTTGTAGCTGCTTTGTAAAACTTATATTTCTAGCTTAAGTATTATTTTCCCATCACATAGGACTTTGGATGCCTCCCTGCATTTTTGCTTTAAGTGTTGCACGTCTAATCCATGGCTAGAAAATCCTCAGAGTTTGAGTTGTTGCTGTGATTGAAAAGGCATGTCTAGGCGCACAGGCGTTGCACTTTTCAAGGCTTGCACCACACCTAGCTTTAGAAAGGCACACCCCTGGTTCGCTTTGCTAATGTTGTCCGTTTCATTCTTCCTAATAGAAGACACTTTTTTGTTAAAATAAGGAACTAAAAGTAAATTATAAAACCAAATTTTTAAGTAGGGACTAGGGCATAGTTTTCAAGGCGCCAAGGCGAGGCTAGGCAACCATGGGGCACTCAGGTGCCTAGCCACCTAGCCCTCGCCTAGGTGATGGAATTTAAAACTAAGGTTTCCGATGGATTTCTACCCTTTTGAACTAGTTTTTTTTTTTTTGGATTTATGTATTCTGCACTTACTTTTGTGCTTGGAACTTGAAAGAACTGAAGGGGCAGAGCCCCTATTTTAGATCAACAAGGAACAAATACTAAAATAAAAGAAGAAAATGAAAAAGAAAAGTAGGGGGCGGAGCCCCTGTTCTAGACCCAGAAAATCTGGTGAAAAAATATTAAAATAAAAGAAGAAAAGAAGGGACAGAGCCCCTGTTTCAGAAACCATTGATGAGAACAAACAAAAGCTGAAAAAATGAAGAAATTAAGAAAAAAAGAAGAGGGCGGAGTCCCTGTTTTAGACCCAGAAAAGCTAGTGAAAAAAATTTAAAATAAAAGAAGGGGTGGAGCCCCTGTTTCAGACACCAATAATGAGAAAAAAAAAGCTGAAAACATGCAGGAAAATTTAAGAACAAAAGAAGGGGGCGGAGCCCCTGTTTTAGTCCAATAAAATGATTCAAAAAACTTGGAGAAAAGATACAAAAAGGAAGAGGAGAAAATGGGGCGTGACCACTGTTTTAAACCAGGAAACAGAGAACAAAACTAAGAAGAAGAAGAAGAAGAAGAAGAAGAAGAAGAAGAAGAAGAAGAAGAAGAAGAAGAAGAAGAAGGATTAACTCACCTTGACTTTAGAGGATTGTGGGAACGATGGAGGCTGTTGCTCTCTCATCTTCCTCAGTTCGATACTTCAATTCTATTGTCAATGTGAAACCCTTGAGATTAACTTTGTTTTTACTTTCCTCAATACAAAAGCATGATAACATGCAATAGGTTCTATTATAATAACTAAAAACAACCAATAAAATATTATATATTTTTTATTTTTTTATTTAATAAATATTTATATAATCATGCACCTAACATAGTTGGCGTTTGGGCGAGGCGTTCTTTGAAAAGCACCTAGTCGCCTAGGCGGGCCTTGACAACTATGGACTAGGGATTAAGAATTTAAGACCCTAATATGGACTTGTTTGGGCTTGCCTCAAGGGGCTTGGTAAAAAGCGGTTTGTAAATTAGAGCAATGCATTTACAGAGTAAATAAAGAGCTTGAAATTCTTCATGCTTAAATTGTTGAATGCTTGAATATCTTTGTATGTGATATTTGGTTTTGTTTTTACGTTTTCACTATGCATATGATTTATGTTATATTTTTGCATTATAATTATGTATTTTTATGTATGTTTATGTGTTTTTACATTAGGTATGTGTTATGTTTAAGTATGTATTTTTTAATTAGTAATATTTTTAATTTTTTTTTCATTTTGGATTTTTTGTATTTTAATTAATATTATTTTTAAACTCCCATATTCATAATGTTCTTCTTTCCCAATTGCTCACTTCCTGAGTGAGCAATATTTCACCAAGACCACATTGGTTCTCAGTGGGTGCTGTTATTTGTGATTTTTAATTTAGATTTATGAGTAGCTCTTGATTTTTACTTCTTGATCAGTGACCCTATCAATTTTCTTTTATCACTGATGTGTATAAAGTGAAAATTGTCTAAAGATTATTATTTTTATTTATTTCCTTATGTATCCAACATTAGAACATTTTCATTTTGGCTGTGTTATTTAAGTATGATGGGAATCTTTTGGTGGCTACTGTCATCTTTGAGTTTTAAGAGTTTTAGGTAGCTGATGCCATTATTTTTCTTATCAGGCAAGATTATCTATGCAAGAACTGTAAACGACCTGGACATTATGCCAGAGATTGTCCTAACGTGGCTGTCTGCAACAATTGTGGACTTCCTGGGTAAGATGGGCTTCTTTACTGGTATTTAAGATGATGCTGATTTATGAACTGACAAAATTTTACTACCATTTAAACGGTGTTTTAGCAGTTGGCATTGATCATAGAACATGTCCCGTAGATACAATGCATTTGCATTTTTTGACAATAAAGTTCATCTGTTTATGCCTCGTCTTTTTCTCACAAAAAGTTTGAGAAAAGGTAATAGTATTAAAGATAAAATTACCCCCATCCCACTCTGCACAGCTAGAAACTGTGGATACACTATATCCATGCATCTCTTTTTTGAATTCCACTTATTTTCTCACGGAAAAAATAAATAACTCAATTTTCTTCTCTCCAGCTGAATAGAGCATATAATTTTTATTACAAAAAACTGTTTTCCCCTCTTTTAGAAGTCATCTTGATAGCATCTGAGCAATTTGCAACCTAAATTTTTGGTTGATTCACCTTCTTGTCTCAACCCTTGCAAAAAAAAAATACTAAGAGCCTAGATGGATTGATTCATGTTTCCGTTTTTGGAGCCTACACTTACTGGCCATACCATATTTCCATTGGGAAAATTCTGTGGCATTTCATACTTTGCATAAGCAAGGAGTGCATTATAACTGCACATTCCATAGTATCGTCTCTTTCATTGCTCCGAAGTATAGTTAGATCAGCATAATGGACGATGCAGTTCATTGAAAAAACTTGTATTTTGACTATTAAGCTTACTATCTATTGGGTGTTATACAACAACATTTGATTAGTAATTTCTACCTTAATAAGATTACCCTTGCTTTCCATAGATTGGCTAATCCAGCTGCTGCATATTTTCTTTTTCCACTTCCAATGCAAAGTGTGCTAAATTTCATGGTGACAATTCGTTAACTTGGTACGACAAACATCGATCTATCCATTTGTCTGCAGAAATAAACTAACGTGTATTTTTTGTTGAATGCCTTCTCTTATTAGTCACATTGCCTCTGACTGTAACTCAGCAACCATGTGTTGGAACTGCAAGGAGCCTGGACATGTTGCAAGCCAGTGCAACAACGATCCAATCTGTCATGTGTGTGGCAAAACAGGTCACCTGGCTCGTGAGTGCTCTGGTTCAGGCTTACCTCCTTATGACCCAAGACTCTGCAACAATTGCTACAAGCCAGGCCATATTGCTGCTGACTGCACCAATGAGAAGGCCTGCAACAACTGTCGCAAGACTGGCCACCTGGCCCGTGAATGCCCTAATGAACCTGTCTGCAATATCTGCAATGTGTCGGGTCATGTTGCCCGTCAGTGTCTCAAGTCTGGCTTAGCATCGGAGATAGCTGGTGGACCTTTCCGTGACATATTCTGCCGCAACTGCGGCCAACCGGGTCACATTAGTCGTGATTGTGTCTCGATTGTCATCTGCCAGAATTGTGGTGGCCGCGGTCACCATGCATTCGAGTGCCCCTCGGGTCGAATGGGACTACGCAGATACTGAGAGGGGAATATATTGCAGGTAGTAGGTGGAGTTATTCATTGGAAGTTTTTGATATGTTGCAATTCTGGAAAGTACTTGTTCTCTTTTGAATATGACGTGCATTAGAAAGTTTTTTGGCCATTTTTTTTCTTCTTGTACTTGGATTCTCTTAAACTCTTCACAGCCTGAGATCTTTCTGTTAGTGTTTTCTTGATAGCAATCTAGAACCGCATCCTTTTCCTTGGGGGCTGTGGCTCGCCAACTTATCGTTTACTAGCAGTGGATGAGTTTCATGTGGCGAGTGCTTTGAATGCATGAAAAAATAGCATGTCCAAAAAATGACTGGCAGTTCTCATTCTTGGATGAGTGGTGAACTATGAAAGTTTAGGTTACTACTTAGAATTTGGAACTGAAGGCCATTACATTACATTATGGAGAAGGCCATTATCATCATGAGCGATCCACGTCCTACCATGGTGCCCGGAGAACCAGGCTTACTTAGCTTACCAAGCTAGCTTACTAAGCTAAGCGYGAAGGAATTTTTCGTTGATTGCACGAGCTAGCCAGCATGCGAATAAACAAGCGGGAAAATTACAGGTGCGCTAGCAGCATGATGAAAACTACCGTGTGCGCTCGTTCAAAAGTATTGAATGCGCTACTGCGCCGCGCGTCAGCGCTCAAGGTTGCTCCGGCTCGAAAGCCGGAGCGTGCTAGCAGTATGATGAAAAACGTGAGCAGCAAGAAAGCCGGATGCAACAAGCGAGAAAACGTAAGTGCGCTAACGCGCACTCCGGCTTTCGAGCCTACTGCGCGGTGTGGTAGCCCAGCCGCTCGTTAGCGCCGTGCTAGCGCTCAATCCGTTGCTTGTTGCTAGTGCGCTAATCGAGCAGTGCCGCTACAAGCACCGGCAGCAAGTTCAGGCACCTCAGCGCTCAGTCCGTCGCTTGTTTCGCTGGATGCGTTAACGCGCCTTTACTAATAAAATAATATAAATAGAAGCGCTTATTTCTACTTATTTCTCAAAGTCAAGCAAGAAACCTTTCGAGATTTGACTTACGCCCTTTATTATTATTAGTAAGCTTGTTTGTTTTATATCATATCAATAAAGGCGAAAGATTGACTGGAGCAAGGGCAACAAGCAACGGGTGAGCGATTTTATATCATATCAATAAAGGCTTTCCTTTGTTTGATTGCTCGTTAGCGCTTTAGTTTGATTGCAGGAGCGAAAAAGGGCAAGGCATCACAATGACACCTGCGCCCTCAACAGCCCACTTAATGACTCTCATCTTGTCTTTCAGTTCGTCCAGCCGTCTTCTAGCTTCGACCAAAACCTTCTCCGGGTCCGCCTGAGGCGGCCTGACCTCTTTTGCTAATTGGTCTGCTTCTTTATTGAGCTTTCGCGGGAGGAGCTGCCCCTATCTCTAAAGGGGGCCCAGTCTGTTTCGATTCCTTTTTGAGAGATCTTCAGATGTCTTTTTGATTAGTGTATCCTGTGTCATCCAATGGAGTTCCTTATTCATGCGGACTCTTTCAATCTACAAGGGAACTCAGGGAACCTATGAATAGCCCGGGAGAGATGGCTTGATTACATATAGAAAACCGGCTACAACACCCACAAGCTAGAAGTGGCTAGAAGAACTAGGGGCAGACCAAAAATAAGACTTGGGAGTGAGTAACTGTGGTAGTTGCAAGAGATGATTTTAGTGTTCATAATTTGACAATGGATTTAGCATTAAACAGAACTTAGAACTTAGATGAAGAGGATATGTCCTATATGTCGACCAACAGAACTTAAATGAAGAGGATATATACTATACGTCGACCAACAAGGACTTTGGTGGAAGTAATAAAAAATTATTTAAGCATCCAGATTCCAAACAAATGTGATTGATGTAGTTGATCCCATGTGGGTTGACCGCATTGAACTAAAATATACTCTCTAGGCCTCTACAAGTTTGGTAACCTGTTGTGAATGACATATGATCATTGATAGCTATAATTATAACCCTAGCAAGTGCACTAGTTATCAAGTAATATAAAAATATCGTTTTCACGAGGATTTAACAAAATAAGTATTAGAACTACAACATTCTTTAATTATTTGGACAACCGAAATTCAGATTCAACAATAAGAACTACTGAAAATTAAAAATAGAAAAAGAAAATAAAAGCAAGGGTAATCAATAACTGAATATGCAACGATTAATTAAAATCGCTAGGACCATTGGTCCACCTAACCATTCCAATGAATATTAATGGATGCAATTAACCAAGATAATTTGTCATTCTCATAAACTGAAGTTTTCCCAATTTTATTTAATATTCTTTCCCAAGATATATTAAACCTACTTCTATCAAGTAACCCCTCGATCCCTCGACTAGAGTTCTCAAGATAGAAATGCATTAAGTGCAAGAAAAACTCATACATTCAAATGAATCATGTGTATATATCCCTATATACCATTCAATTCACACCATGAATTATATGGTATAATATATGAATTCCTCTCCCGATTCATTCATATAAATCTAATCAATTAAGAGATGGTCACTCCTAATCGCATTAAGCAAATAACTCATAAACTATATGGAAATACGATCTTGGATGAATCATAATAAAAATATATTCATTATCATGGTTGGGCTTTTCACAGCCCTAGTTATAAATAAATCAGTTCATGATAAAGAAAATAAAGCAAACAAGAGGAAAAAAAGAACTCATGATTTCGCTAGTGGAGCTGAAATCTTCTCTTCTTCTTGCCGCCACCTCCTTCTTGAAGCTTTCCTCTTTGCTGATTTCCTTCTTGAAGTTTTCTTGATTACTTCAGAGGGAACTTTAGTAATTGATTGATTGAGTGATTGATGCCAAAAGATAGTCTCCCCCCCCTCCCCTTTATAGGGAACTTCAGAGGGAACTTCTCTTAGGAGTTCTTTCTTAAAAATAGAAAGTCCTAATTAGATCTAATCCTATCCTATCTAGTAATCTCAATCTTTTATCTTTCTAGAGTTACAATTGAAATTTAAATCTGATAGGACTCTTTATTATTGCATTCGTATTGAGATTCTTTAATGATTTGGGCCGTTGCAAGGCTTTTCTGCGAGTTGGGCTTCAGCTGTGAGCTGGGCTTTTCTACGAATTTGTTTTGACTTCGGGCCCAATTTTGACCTCGATGCAGATCAAATCTATCAAAACCCAAAACATGAAAGTTTTAGAGTTCTTCCTTATCTTTTCAATGCATCTTGAATCATCTCGATCGGAGTCCCAATGTGAGAGTTATGCCCAAATTACTGAACGGTGCTGAAACTGTACAAAATCATCCGATTAGCCTTGTTTTTCTCCCGATGTCTTCTTTCATGCCCTGAATCGAAATAAAAAAATAATGAGTCCAATTAAGTACTAATTAATTATAAAAGATTGAATATTTGAGAATAAAAATATGATAATTTTTATTCTCATAAATCATGAGTATGGGTAAAACAGTATTTTCATTCGACATTTTTTTTTTTTAATTGAAAAGAGTGGAATTAAAATGGTAACCTGCGGTGTCTCCCAAAACAGCCCAGGCAAACAGCCAAAGCGACCTCATTAAAATGGTAAGAACGGTTGAGTTATGATTTCATAGGCTCGTAGCTGGAGTTGGTAAATAAAACCCAAAAGCTTAATTATGCCCTGTTCTTTTGCCCTTTCTACCCTGGCCATAGCATACCTTGTGTAAAGTGTAAACCAAAACTGGGTTGGAAGAAAACAGGTGATCCTTACCTGTTTGATAAAACGTTTGAATGTGGTCAGTTGATAAATCCCCTCCCTTTGCCTGGCTTAGTAGCGTTTCTTGGGCATCACTTCCGTAATCTCTCGTAAAGCTTGATGAGGTGTTGATGGGTTGATACGCACACGCATGCTATGACACGACCCAAGACTTGGTCCTCACTTTCCATCCCTGGGAGTTATTTTCACATGATAAACAAGGAATCTAGATTGCGAAGATTTCCTTATCTTTAACTAGAGTTTCCTTTTCAACAAATTACCACCATGTTTAGTTTCCTTCTTTATGCATTCTTTGATCTGGATTAGAACATCTTTTATCTGTAACGAGTTCATATCGACCACGGTGAGAGATTCTATACTTTTTACAAACCACAGATGAGTAAGTTGAGCATCATTTGAACTTGTTGGTTTTTATGTAGCAATCTGTTACGAAAGAGAGATGATGGGAACCGACCAAAGCACCGCCATCTACAATTTTTGCTCTGGACCTCCTCTACAAGCTCTGGAGATGCCAAATTTCTGTCAAGTCATCGTCTTGGAGAATTTAGATAAAAGTTTACAAGCAAAGCAAATGCGATCCATCTTCTATCTTTGAATATTCTCTTCTTAGTTATTTCGTGGCTGTGGCTTCATTCTTTAAAATTTTAAATTGGGATTTACAGGGTTGGTGTCCATGGTAAATGATCACCCTGTTTCTTCAGATATTTTCTTCTTAGTTCTTTAGTAGCTGTGACTTCATTCTTTAAAATTTTAAATTAGGATTTGCAGGGTTGGTGTCTCAAAGTAAAAGATGACCCTGTTTCATGTTTTTACAAAGAGGGGTATAAGTGTTTTTTTCATTCAAACTGTTTAAAATATTTGTAAGAAGGTATATTTAAATCTATTTGAAAAACTCATAATACTTTGAAGTTAAATTATTAAGGTTAAGTTTGGGATTTCTTATTTGAAAAATGTTTGGCATCTAATTTTTTCAAGTGTTTATTAAGAAAACACTTATTTAATATTGAGTATTTAGCGGTTTTTTTTTTAATAAACACTTATTTCATATTGGGCATTTAAAAAGACACACTTAAAAAGAAGAATAAATTGGCGTTCAAGAAAAAAAAATGAGTACCAGAGTTGGAGCCATGTTCGTTGTTCGGTTGAAGAAGAGAAAACAAAAATTAAAAAAAGAAAAAAAGAAAATAGAAGGGCTTCTAATCGATAGGGGCAACTTTTTGTCTTAAATATCAATAAAAATAATATTTTTTATATAATAATTAAAATAAAATAACTTTTTTAAAAAAATATCAAATAAGGATAATGACATTGTTGCTCGTCTTCTTCCTCTATCTCTACCTCTGTATTCATGCAAACTGAAGTTGAAGAGGCTGACGTTTCCATGTTTTAATGGGGTCGCAAGGAAAAATTAATGCTTATAAACAACGAATGATGCAACTCTTATTAAGTGGGATCCATGTTTCCAACTTTGTCTTTTAGCTTGTTGTATGGTTTGCAATACTTGATGTTTACTGGCTAAAATCCACCCATTATATGTTTGCCAAATTGACAAACGGCACAATTGATGAAGAGATAAGTTGTTATGCGAAGATCGAGAGTCGAGACTTACTGGAACTGCTGTCTCTAGCGCTGGATGGAATAGAGGCGGTCACTGCCGATGCAGAATTGGCAACATCTGAAGCAAGACGAGCCATGTCGGCTGACCCATCGGACAATGTGGGATTTTCCACCTTTATGCGAAATGCTATCAATGCGTCCATCTGTTTCTTCAACATGTTCGCTTCCTTCATCACCTCCACCTTATCCCAGTAGAAGATATTCACCTTGTTGAATTGTCATCCAGTCTTCTGAAGTAGACGAGCAACAGTGGGAATTCCTCATCCCTCCCTTTATCCCTGTAGAAGGTATTCATCTTATCCTTATAGAAGATACTAGAACACCAAGAATCAACGTTTTAAAAAACGATTCGGAAATGAAACCGTTATGGGCACCAGTTTTTAGGTCAATGGCCTGATCGTTCGGTTCGAATTGATGGCCCATTCTAACAGCAAAATTAAAAAATAAGAAATGGTCAAAATCGTTGAATGGGTGCACAGTTCAACCCCCTGGGTCAACGGTTTGTTAACTTTTTCAACGGTTTTTGATAAAATTCTAGGTTTTGGGTAAAACATAACCGGTTGCTTGGATGGTTCCTGGGCTGAACGGTCCAACTGTCCGGATCAACGATGGTTCAAAAATGTTACTATAAATTAGATCATTAAATTCTTCTTTGCACAGGGAATCGTTTCTTTGTTAGTGGAGGAAGACGAGCACAAGTGTGGAGTGTCCTTATTTGATATTTAAAAAAAAAAATTATCATATTCTAGTTATTATATAAAAATTATTATTTTTAATGATATTAATAGCAAAAAGTTGCCCTTATCGGTTAGAGATTACCTCAATGCACAAGCTTCTTGTTTGAACTTGGAGTAGTGCCGCCACTACTATAAAGTCTGTGAAAAGAAAAGTAGAGAAGAAATCTTCACCAACAGGGGAAGCCTTATGTTCTTTGAGTAAAGGACAATTTGGGCATTTTGAAATATAACCAAGGAGTGTTTTGGAAGTAAAATTTCGAACATGTGCTTATTGTATAAGGACTTAATTTGAGCTAATTTCCCAAATGCCAATCTATGCTAATTGGTGCGGTCCTGGTTCAAAATAAATGCTTTCAAATAAGCACTTTTTAATATGGGTTTCAAAACCGGACCGGACTGGACGGTGGGACCGGAAAAACCAGGAACCGGTCATCTATTTTTCTCCAAAATCATTGATTTTGGTCAGCAAATTGCTAAACCGGCCGATTAACCGTTCGAACCGTTTGAACAGTTTTGACCATTTTTCAATTTTTTAATTTTTTTGTCAGAACAAACTGGCCGTTCGAGTCAAACGGTTGGATCGTTCGAATCAATAACCGGACCCCTGACCATTTCGGTTTTAAAAACCATGCTTTTTAAACACTCTCAAACTTGACTTAAACCTCAGGATATGTTTCAAGTCTTTTGTCCTTTTCCAAACTTTGTTCTGATTCTTCGAGCGGTGCAAGCTCTAACGAATTCAAGCATGCTTCTGGCAACTCTGTATTACTTGCTACATAACTAATCACAAGTCAATACACTAATGTTCCATTATCACATAACCAATCACAAGTGAATATACTGATGTTTCATATACTGGTATCTTCACTTGTGATTGGTTTCGTAGCAAGTGATACACTAGTGCTAGCAACCGACCCCGAACCCATTCTTTGTTCTTAATTTCTAATCCTTCTCTCAATGGAGAATTATGATATTTCAATGAACATTTTTGTCAATACAGCTATGAGAAAAGGAAAATACACCAAGGACGCTTAATAGTAGAAAATCAGATTTGTTCTTCAGGAGATTGCCACCACAAATTGGAAACATTACTCCATGAATGACAACAAAAGATTGCACAATCGAAAGTAATTTGAGGGAATTAGAATATCTTATTAATAAAACAGGTTCCAACACTCTTACCAATATGATCTGACATCACACATCTCACTATAATACTGGGACTCATCATAAAAGGAATCCGGATCTCCTGTCCACACAAACTTTGCCTACATTTATTACAGTCGCACATGGAGAATATCTCATCCCCTAAATAGTATTATGCAGGAGAGATGTTCCCAATTCACGGGATAGTGTATTGTGGGTAGACGTGGACAGGGTTCGTATGAACAGGAGATCCGAACTCTCACAAAAGTAGTACCCTTCATGTATGAAATATGTGGTATCATGTCTGTGGTGGTGGGAAGATGGACTCCTCCTTCTGGGCGCACTCTCAAAGTTAACACAGAAGGCAGTTTCTCTAACAGCAAAAGTGGTTTTGGTTTTTTTGGTCTTTTCTTTTTGGTAGCTGTGCTTTGTGTAAAGTTGTTTTCCCTCTTTTAGATGAACTCTTAGCCATTAAACAGTATTGTTTGGCAGCTGTTAGGCGCTGAGTTTTCAGAACTTAATTGTAGAGAGTGATAATCAGACAGTGGTTAAAGTTTTACAATCAAGGTCTTTTGGACAACACCCCCAAATTCGGAGTTTGCTAACTGATATTTACAGTCTTCTTCCAGCTGGTACTCTCTTCAGCTTAATACGCAGAGAAGCTAATGCATCAGAGCACTTATTGACTTCTAAAGGTGCCTCCAGTTTGGAGGATAGTTGACTATCTCCTCCCGGCTGTTGTTACATTCGCTTTCAGTAGATCATCCCCTTAGGCTGCGTTTGGAAATGATGCAAATAGAGTGTAAATTTTAGTTTAATATAAATTTGTATTATGGTTTATTTTTGCTTGTATTTGGTAACATTATTTATACTTTGACAAATGACATATTAATGCATATTTACATTGATAATAAGATATAAAAGTACATCAATAAGAAAAAGTAAATTTGTATTCAAGGGATTTTGATAAAAAAAAAAGTATATGCTTTATTGAAATTCATATTTGCATTCGTTACCGCTAAAAGCCTGTTTGATAGAAAGTAAATTTGTCAATGTAAATCTAACCTAATTTTACAATTTATATGAACCATTTTACACTCTATATATTTACATTCACACTTATTTGCATCATTTCCAAACACAGCCTTAGGATGTTTTCTTTCCGTTAATTTTGCTGTTATTTGTTTCTCTGTTTTCTGTTATTTGTTTGATTTAAAAAAATAAATAAATAAATCATATAGGGTGTTTGAATGTGTTTTATTGGCAGGAGATTCAGTTTTATATATGAGGTTAGTGTGAGGAGCGCTTAGTGAGCAGCAGAGATCCGGGGCCGGCCATGGATGCATTATTGAGTAGTCAAATGGACAGTAGCACCGTGTGTCCACTTTCTTCATGGTAGGTATTTTTGTCATTTCAACCATAACCAAGTTCACTTTATCCAAAATGCATTAACACGTGTTAATTTTGATCCACCTGTCTTTGGCATCCAAAAAGCATTAATAACACGTCTCCCTCCCTACTCTTTCAGCTTTCCTCATGAAATTTGAAGCCTCTCAGGAGAATCAATTCATGCTCTTTGAGGACAGCATCAAATACAGCTCTGCTCGGTCGATTTTTTTTTTTTCTTTTATTGTCTTGTATAACTAAAGTAGGAAAGCGGAGATCTCAAACGCCTTTAGGGTTTTGGATTTCTTAACTTTCCTTGCAAAGTTTGCCTAGGGCCTCTGAATTTCGCCTGCGGGAGCTTATGAGAAGGGACATGGACATGGCTATCTCTCCCGCCTGTCTGAGTAGAATCTAGGATTAAATTCAGAAGTCTAATTTTGTTTTCAAATGCTTTTCTCTTAGTGGTTCCACAAGAATGTCACAAGCTTCCGAGGCTCGGAGCTCTGCTTATCTAACCGCACTCGCCCAAGAAATCGAGAAAAAACTCCAACGGGTGAGGCCTCCATTCATTTTGCCATAAATCGTTGTGTGTCACAGTAATCAGGAAGTCGGTTATGTCCATGATTCATTAATTGATTTGTTTTCGTGTGAATTCATTACTGTTAAACAGTTTTGATGACACTTCGCAATCTATGTGTTGATTATGTGTTTATATTTCATGGATTTGAGTTAATTCGGGATTTAGAAAGGCGCACTCTAGTGAATTAGAACGGCAGGAGGTAGATTAATGTTCCATTAAATCTTTGCAGGCACTAGTTTCTCAATCCCAGAGACTTAATTTGTTGCAGGAACTGTTTGCTGACATAGCTTTAGAAGTCGACGTCCGTGCCCGAGGTGAGTGTTCATTGTGGAAATTTGCACTTCTGTTTATTTTATTTTATTTTATTTTATTTTTTTGGGAAATTTGCACTTCTGTTTGCCCAACTTTTTTTAGTTAAAAAACTGTTTTTTTAGTTGTTTTCCATGAGCGTCAGGTTGTATGGCTATTATTTAGCGTGATATATTACTTTTTTTAGGCAGTGTGATATATTACCGACTGCCATAGTTGTCAATGCGACGCCAATGCGATGATAAGGCACTTCTTTAAGGGCCCCTATGTGCCTCAACTTACTGCTTAAACAGGCGGTATATTAATTCTAGGTGTAACGCAACTTATCCGTATCATTTATATTACATAAATAAAGATAAAAGGGTATTGACCAACATTAAAAAACAAAATTTAAATTTATAGAGGGGTAAAATGAGTGAGTGTAGAGCAAACTAAACCAGCAATAGGAAAATAATGAGTTCAGCTTCAGATAGTAAACTTCATAAGGAACTTCTTCTTGACTCTCTCTCTCTCTCTTCCTTTCACTTGTTCTTTTTCTTAGGGTCTGTAATCACTCCTCACTGTCTTCCTTACTGTAAGCAGAACAGACTCTGTCCCTTTACCTCTTTTTCTTCTTCTTTGCAATTGACATACTCCATCCCCTAGTCTTTTTTTTTTTTCATATAGACAGTGTAGTGCATCTCAATTCCACTTTTATCTTTCAATTCTTTTACGTTCAATCATTTTTTATGTTTTCTAGTTGCTCATATATATATATATATATATACAGAGAGAGAGAGAAGCTAAAGTTAACCAGCTTTTTGTATTAAAAAAATCATCTAGGCAAGAAGGTGCTTCCCTGTTGCTCATCCTCAACTTAGTGCCTTGACAACTATACTAACTAATAAATAATGGTAGGGGAGTCTCGCCACAACTTTAGAATCCCCTACCATTATTAAATTTCTGATATGAACTGATTTACATTACATTACCTGAGTCCTCAAAGTACTGCAACCTTTGTGCCTCTAATGCAGATCTCACAGAACTTCTATGATCTGATACGGGTAGAAGCCCTAGTTGCCTGCAGTTATAACATCTATTCTGAGATGCAATAGTGATGAGTCTCTTGCATGTGTATCACACATGTAATGGACTCAAATTGTTAAACAATGAAATAGCTAAAAGAGAACTGTACTCCTATTTGTATTATTCCTAATTATGTATTACAAAAAGAACCCAACTGCGTTTAAATAGATGATTATTTGGGCCGTAAACCAAAAGAAATATAGAAACTTCAACTAACCACATATCTCATTCATTTTATTACAATGTGTAGCATCCTATAACATAGATTCATATAATTTATATGCTTATAGCCACTGGTGATGTTTTTCTCCACCATCTTAACTTGTAATTCATACTACAATTTAAATCTAGATTTTAGAGTTCATGGATGGTTAGGGCTATGTTTCAATGGTATGTTTTTCTCCACCATATTAATTTGTAATTCATACTACAATTTAAATCTAGATTTTAGAGCTCATGGATAGTTAGGGTTATGTTTCAACGGTAGATTCTAATAACATGTTAGAGTCACCTCTATTCTGTATAGGCTTTAATTTTGATGTTCTGCTTTCTAAAACAGATATAATTATAAGCAAAGATGATGATGGAGTTTCTTCAGCAGAGGATGATATTAACCATCTTTGCTTTTACAATGTTCTCGCTGATCATTATGTTATAGTGCCTGAGAATGGAAAACCAATCCTTGATTTGATTGTCCAGCTGTGGAGCCAGTCTTTTGCGTCTAATATCTTTGCCCTCCTTTTCCACAAGTGGGTATGTATTCTTAATTTTATTGAAAAATTTATATACATATTTTCACTAGTGAACCCTTCTTCCATAATGTATGTTCTGATATTTATAATACATATACTCTCTATAGTGTCTATATTTCTTTACTGACATTGACTAATGTAAACATGTGTCCCTTTGAAAAGTCAGTGTGTGGTAAGATGGACAGTTTGAATTACTCACATAGATGAGTTAGTGCTGGTTTGAAGAGTAACACAAGTAAGACATGTTGTCCTGGCATATGAGAGCTTGACATTCCATGTAACACTACATAAGATGTCTATTGTTATTACTATTTATATGAGCCGACTTCGTGGCAATGAAAATTTTACATATAATCCTTCTATTCTATTTTAAGCTTAGAATCCATTGTGGCATTTCAACAAATTGAGAAGTTTAAAGGCCACTCTGTTTTGCAGTTATTTGAGGTTCAACTTGAAAATTCAGAAGTTCTCCTCCGTTATTCATCAGCCCTTGTTCAAGGTGCTACAAATGTATTCTGGTATGGAGATTAGAGATATGGGTATCAATTGTTGAATAACCACTAATAAATGTAAAGGTTTCTGGTTTCTTCAAATATAAATTCTGAAGTATTAGGAATAATTATTCATGTGCTTCTTTGTTGTTGTTTTTTTTATTTATTTATTTTTTGGTGCTCTGTATGTTGCTGAAGTGTGTATGCTTACCAGTCCAAATTTTCTTGTTTTCTTTTTTGGACACATTTCTGCAATGTCACTTGTTCATAAACCTGAAAATGTTCCATATATAACTAAATGTTCATTGGCAGGATTGACATCCAAACAAATACAAGGCGTTTCTTGTCTTTGTTTCATGTAAAACATCTTGTACCATAAATTTCATTGCTCAAGCTTTATTTCTTTCTGTCTTTCTATGATTCAAGTGCATCATGACCAAATATATAATTGTCTGCAATCTCTCCCTTCTTTACTACCCAGTATCTTCTTGAGGAGGTTGCATTGGTACCAGCACGCTTGAATAAAATCGCCTTGCAGGTAAAACACAGTTGTGTCATGCAGAGCTTTCTTGCAATAGTAATTTGATATTTGTGGTGTCTGAGTTTCCATTGTTTGCTAACCCAATTTGTTTTGAAGCCTTGTTTTGTCGAAATTGCCTATTTGTTTTTTAGTGCTACAAGTGCATTGAAGTGCTCATTTTCACTTACTTTCAGGCCCAGAGAGACTTGTATCTTCTGCTTTCCAGATTCATATTCTTTTACAATTTAGGTGTGTCCTTATGAGTTAACAATAGTGTTTACTGATCTAATTTATCTACCTCATTAATTGTCTTGTCTTCTTGTGGCAGTTGACAAGCTCGAAACTTTGTTAAAGCAATTTCCTGTTTTTCCAAATGCTTTTTTGGTTGGCGGTCCTGCAGACATTTTTGTTATTGAGTTAACAGATCAGGTAATACCTAAAATAATATCTTGAAAATGTGGCTCATTTAATCATTTTGTGAAACCAATTAATATAGTCAACCATTTTTCTTGTGTTCTATGTTATGTTTTTTATTTTTTTTCCAGCTTCAAAAGTTGAAAGTTGAACCAGTACTGCTTCATTACCTCTCTCACATGAAAGCCCTCGAGGGTATATTATTGTTTTCACTTCAGATCGCTCACTCGTGCATGTTGTGAAGTTATAAGATGTTTAAGATTGCCTGCATTTTTATGTTTGGGTAGACTATTAGTTGGTTGGTTAATTTCTCTAGGTTTGGAGCTGAGGATGACAACAAGTACAAGATTGAAAGCCTGCCTGTATAGTTTCACATCCCCTGGTGGTCCAATGTATCCAACAAGAGCTGTTCGTCATGCAGCATGGGATACACTTGATTTGCTTTTCCCTGTAAGTAACTATTTGATCAATTCTGCTTAGCAGATTAGAGAATAGTAGAAAGATAAATATCTATACAATTTATTTTAGAATGAAATACAAGACTCAAGAGATGGGATCGTCTGCTTACTTCCCAGAGGCCACCACATGTTTTTTCAGTCATGTAAATTGTTTTCATATGTAAATGTGGATCCCTATATATCAGGCATTATCAGTTCCTGGCAAAAAATTTCTGGCATATCCACCATCACATGCCTCTCACCAAGGTCTCATATTTTATTAGGGCTGTTAACGGGTATGTTTGTTCTCATTCTGTGAGTTTGTCCCGATTAATAATTGGATCACTTCTGGTTCTTGCCTGTTCTGAACCAATTATCCAGTTAATAATATATAAAGGTTTCCTAATTTTCTTGTAATTTTTATTATATTTTATGTCTAAAAGGGTCAATTTGATTGAGAATATATAAGATAATTTTGGTCAAAGATATTTGATTTATTTACATATAAATAATCTACTATTTTACTGTCATTTTTATTAAGGCTATATTATCAAAAATGGAAGTTTTAGGTCTATGATTTTGTCCTGATTAACAATCAAGACCGGTAAACATGGTTTTTAAAACTGACCCGGAGACCGAATCGGTTAGGGGTCCGGTTACCGGGTCGAATGGTCCGAATGATCGGCCTGTTCTGACAAAAAAGTTAAAAATTTTAAAAATAAAAAATAAAAAATGGTTAAAACCGTTCAAACGGTTAACTGCCCGGGTCAGCGGTTTGCTGATCAAAATCAACGGTTTTTTGAGAAATCCTGGTTTTGGGGAAGAATGGAACCGGTCACCTGACAGGTTCCCATTTTTTTCGGTCCAGTCCGGTTTGAAAACCTTGCAGGTAAACATTGTCCTGAACCAGACTCGACCTGTTGATAGCCTCATCTTAGGCTATGAAGGAAAATGTAGGGAAAAAGGAAGGGAAAGGTAGGGAAACCTTTACAACCCTTGTATTGGTTTCCTGTCTTTCCCTTCCTTTCCCTATCTTTTCCTTCAAACCAAACATAGCCTTATTGGTCACTTGCAGGGAAGTCATATTTCCATTTTTCATACTTTGGGAAATTGTAAGAACCAGATTAGTGGCTTTTCCATCTGAGATTTCCTTCAAGCTGTTGGCACTCGTGGTTGCAGGTTGGACGATATCCTCGGCATCTGATAAGTCTGTTCTTCCGGCTGCTATATCCATGGTACTGGCCCTCTTCATGTTGGAGTTTTATAGTGTCTTGCATCAGGGCAGTGATATACTCTATCCTGAGAATATTCTTTTCAAGTTGGAAGAATCTGAGAAAACCTAAACATCCCTAAATGTAGAGAATAGATCGGGTTCCAGCAATCTCCGAATTTAGGATGGCACTCCTTACAGAGTTCACTTGTCTTTTTACTTTCCTGTGAGAAGGTTACAACTGAAATCACTTACAAGTTACGAAAACATATTTTGGGTTGATTCATTGCTCTCAGTTGAGCTGCTTTAAATCACTTGCATGTTGAGAATATTAACGAGCACAAAGCTCACTTAATGGCCATACTTGATTATTATCTTCTTTCGAGTCTCAAAGTAGAAATTGTAGCTTGGTTTCGTCCTGGATCCGACATACTTGATGATATTCTCGATTTCTTTGGTTCGTATGTCAATCATTTGCCGTGGCTGATGAGTTGGTAAAACTTTCACCATCTCAGCCGTCATTGTCTCATCGAAAAACTGAAGAGTAAATAACACGCTCACAGCTCCCTTGACTCGTTGAAATATCACAATTCACATGTATTACGGTTGCATTTGGAATCAGTGTAAAACATCATTGGTGTAAAAATACACCGATAATGTTTTACATTGAACCCGTGAAAGTGACTTGCTTTTTAAAAAACACGATGGGTGGAAGAGTGTAAAGTTTTTACATTGAAAATTTTATGCTTGATTAGGTTTTACAATGATTATAGATGTAAAACTTCATTTCATTTAAACGTATGCATAATTGAACCAGAGCGGAACTTTACGTCGATTATAATTATATGCTCTTTTCAAACGCTTATAATATTGCTTTCAAATGCAGACTAAAGTATTCTTGTAAATAAGATACAGCAGATTGATAGTGTTTGGAGCCATGGAGCTAATTGAGGAGCAAAACTGATAATGAGCATCTACATAACATTGATCAATGGAGTTTTTTTATGTGTGCGATGCAACAGGCTAGGCCGTTGTTAAAAGATGTGATTACATTCATAGTTTCGTAACATAAACTATAAAGGACACGGAACTGGTTAAATAGCGCAATGTACGATTATTTTTTGAAGAAAATTTTCAAAACACACAAAATTCAAGGGATTGGGAAATGGCAGACACTTTTGGCCAATCAACACATTTGTGAGAAATATGTTGCAACATATGATTCTCATTTCAACTAAAGATGTATGTATTTAATAAATATCAAATTTGATATTTTAAATAAAAACAAAACTTTGTATTGATCAACTCAAAACAGTTTTAAAACACATTAAATAGAAAAATCTCTCGCACATTTATACTGATCAACTCATCAACTGAAAACACGACAACACCTTACCAAAAACCTCTTTAGTTCGGGACTAGTGCTTGGGTCAATCAATGCCAGCCATGTCATTTAAGTTACTCGTGATAAATACGAGGACAACTAACACATGACACATCTAAAAGCACCAAATCACCAGCTCGAGTGGTATAATTGCAAGTAGAACTATGAATACATGTTTGTTGGTAAGTTGTTCGGGTGAAAGGAGCTCCAACTTGATTTACATGAAGTTGACCAATATCACCTTCTTTTACAGGATAATATAGTTTTCACCGAAAGAACCAAATCAAGAGTTGAGTCATTGGCGTGTTAGCTGGTTTGTTCCAGTGTTAATACAGAACCGAATCCTGCCAAGTTACTAATGGTGCATGGCACTGAATATAAAAAAAAATAAAAAAATTATGAAAAGTGAATTATCCTCCAATAAATTTTTGAGCTTTTAAGTTTTACCCTTTTGCCACGGGGTAATCTACAAGGCTACAAATCTACAACTAAGATACAAGACCAGATCTGCACCGCACAGCAATCTCACAACACATCTAAGCCACACATCGGGTACATCTACATACTCGTGTTATTATGGGAAGATGTTCCAAATACACAGGATGTGAATTCAAGATGAGATCACATCTGTGCCACACAAATGCCACTGGCAACATCTCCCCAAGTTGCCAGTGGAAGATGTTCCCAATACACGAATGGGATATGCCGTGGGGCGTTTGTGGGGCACGGATATGAATTGCTGTCAGATCGGTGTGGCAAATCCCGATTCCTAAGATTAGGAGCATCAGTATTGAATTGTTTACCAAAAAGAGGAGCATCAGTAATTCAGACCACGCTCAAATCTCGTTATACTAAGTTCTAGGCTTATTTTTACCCTCAATCTTTTCAGTCGGTGTAAAGCAAGTCTAAGCAAGGTGTGACGTTGACAATGCCCGACCAAATTCCATTCCAGTGTACCTCCATGCCAAGACACGCCATTGCGTTTAAGGTTAAAAGACGAATAGTCTAATACCCCCATATAATTTCGGGAATCAAGATCTAGCATTTCCCAAACCAATTAAAACAAAGAAACTACATTATTTACAGTGCATAAAAAAAATGCCAAATGGAACCTTTGAACAATGTTTCAGATATATAGAAATTTTCACCAAAAACTGATGGGCAGTAAAAAGAAATTGAAATAAAATATAACTACCTTCAACTGGCATCCCACCTGCGTAACAGCGCATGATGATGAAATGCCAAAGCTCCGCTACAACTCAATATGTTGACCTTTTTTTCTCCAAAAAAATGATAGGGAGAAAAAAGAAATTGACAAAAACAACTACCTTCAACTGACATCCCACCTGCTTAACAACGCACGATTTAGTGTTGAAGTGTTAAAGCCCCGTTACAATTCAATTTGTTGACATTCTTTTCTCCATTGTTTCTATCACCTGAAGGGGAAAAATTTCCCTGGCTCCGCTTGTGTAAACAAATAAAATGTTTTGAAGAAAAACAGCTAATAAGACAAAAGGAGAGATCACAGAAACAGTCTGCAGCTGTCTATTAACGCAAGTACCATGTCAAATTCAAACGAGCAATAAAAGGCCCTGGCTCCATAAACCAGACACAACAATCTCCTCACTGTATTTTCCTCCTTGTAAGAGTAGCATGTTGGTAAAAGTATACATCCTTGAGCAACGACGTATTTATAATGTTATAGCAGAACTATGAAGCCAAAAAAGTTCACCTTCAATTTATTTGCATTGCTTCTGAATGGTACTTCTCTAAATCAGCATCAAGATCTTCTGCAGATATCTGCTCACCACGGTCTCTTCTCCGCCCACGGCCCCTTCCAAATCCACGACCACCACCACCTCGAGACCGTCCCATGGCTCCACCTCTTCCTTGTCCACTGTTGCATTATCATATGAAATTAAGAAGTTGTACAAAAAGATTCTACCAGATATAACTACATCACAAGCACAAAAGACACAAAAGATGGACTTGACCAAATTTAGCATGCAAGAACTTGTTCTTTGGTACTTATCCCCTAACCATATGCAAAGAAAAATGACAACGGAAAAAGAGAGATGAGTGCTCGAGGACAGTATCTTTTAACTCCCATAACTGGAAGGATGGTCCAACAATCAAAAACACTTTATAAATTTAAGTAGATGAGAAAACCCCTACACCCTAAGGGTATTTACTGTAGCAAATCAGCATAAAGCTTAAAACAGACACATTAGAACAGAATAACAAATTTTACAAGCAGAGATACTTTTTAAATCAGGAAGGAAATCATGAATAATTAATTCATGATACAACTAGTTTAAACTAATAGCCTGGAACAGTACGGTTGTAATACAAATAGAGGTATATATTAGTAAAGAAAAAAAAAGTGCATCCATGCATCCACCAGTAGAAGGCTAAATATTATTATTAAGTTGATGTGCTAGAGTTAAACTTAAAATAAACAATTGCATGCATATCATAGGACGGAAAATATACAAAGTACCAACTACCAAGCATCAAGCCCTGTTAGATATTTATTGGTAATTTGATACTTTCAAAGGTGCTTGCAAAATATAACCAAGGAGAATAGTATTTACAAGGAAATCTAAATGCAGGAAGCAAATTTGAGAGTTATTAGGATGAAAAAGAAAAATGTCCAAACTCCAGCTATTTGTCAAAAAAAAATGTCGCTGAGATAAAAGAGCATACCTTCTGGGAACACCATTTGGATTTCCAAAGCCGCCATTTGCAGCTGGTGGAACAGCAACAGGCGTCGCAATATTTGTCCCTACAACCTCAATTTTCATTGGCTTCCCATCAAGCTGAACATTGTTATACCTCTTGACAGCAGCTAGAGCATCTGCCCGGCGTGAAAAGACAACTTCTGCCGTCCCCTAAGATAAGGAATCACTTTTATCTATGGCTAAACACAAAGAATGCTCAAAGAGCTAGACAATGACAGATGTTGGCAGGTACCTTCGATCTTCCGCTCCTGTCATAATGGACTGTATATCGTTTCAGGTCACCAACCTCTGAAAAGAGCTCCTGCCCAGAGTTCCAAAGTACAAATTTAATAAAGCTTCACTATAAACATTCATATTTTTTGGAAATCACTAAAAACTTTAAGAGAGAATTACCCAACTAATTTAAAATGCTTGGAAAATGTAACATCTTGGAGATATTAATTTTATAGATAAATGAACTGGTAGATAAGACAAGAATGCACTGTATTGCATTTTCAACCACCTAAAATTGGATAAATAGCATAGCAAAAATTTAGAAAGGCATGCTTACAATACCAAAGTTCAGCATATCCATTTTAAGGCATACAAAACAATTAATTCCAACTTTGACCACCACAAGAATTTTCCAAAAGAAGAATGTAAAATGAGGTGGCAACAATCAAGAGAATAATTAAAGGAAATACATGACCACACAAAGGTGCAGAATGCACAGTACATGCATGGAGAGGGGGAATAGGCAATGGCCCTATATCCAATATTTACATGATTTTTTAACAGTAATGAGAAAAATAGTCAAAGAAAAAATGGTACACGAAGCCCTTTGAAAACAAGAATAGCTCAATCAATGTCACCCAATAATAGAAAAGTAATAACCCAAAAAAATATGATTCCAAAATAAACACAACTCCAAAGGTATGACCCATTGTTATAAAAGTGTGAAGCAAAAAGATATTCCAAGAGACTGATGCGCAAGGTGCAATGTGAGGCATGCACATGAATGAGGTGATACTCCACTTTATGCAAGAGTATGCAAATCTAGATTCTGAAAGAAATAACAATGTTTCAATGAAAAGAAATCTAGCTCAATTGATTAGATCATCAGGTTATTAATACAAATGTACATTCAAGTCCTACATATGGCTAAACTATTTCACTCTTAAACATCATAGCACAGCCTACAGTATGATAAACCACGCAATCAATATCAAATTCAAGGATAATTCATCAAAACACATACACAAGCCAGGTGAAGTGCACCTCAGTTTAGGCAAGAAAAAAAAAAGTCATTACCAAATATCAATCCCAGCCATGAGGAATTCAGGCAAGAAACACCTCACAAAATGAAACTCACCTATGAACCTAGGGATAACTCAGGCATGCCTTTTAAAACACTTGACTGCTCAACAATATAACTCCAACCTATCAATTGAGTCTCAAGCAAAAAAAAAAAAATCAGCTAGACATCAATCAAAAAAGATCAGCTATAGAATATCCAATCTTTGAACCTTTTTTTTTATCGATAACACTTTCATTAAATCATCAGTAGAAGATTTACAGGAGGAAGACAAACACAATTATCTTCCAAGAGCCACAAAGCGCCTCATAAAAGGAAAAAAAGAAGAAAAAAAGACGACACTAAAGTTACAGCTTAGCCCAAAACAGTGAATCCCTTTCTGCCCCTTGTTTAGCTAAACTGTCAGCTAGGGAATTAGCCGATCCTTTAACCCAACATGTCTTAACTTCCATCTCCCGCACCAGCCACATGAATTTCCTCCTCTCATTGTTGTACTTCCATAAACCATTTTGATCTTTAGTCAGCCACCCTATCACCACCTCTGAATCCCCTTCAATTATGAGTTTCTTGATGTTCAGCTCCTCAGCTTTCTGGACTTCTTCCATAACTGCAAAGATCTCAGCTCTAAGGGAGTCGCTCACTCCAATTGGGCCTGAAAACATGGCAGAGATGACCCCATTTTCGTCCCTAAAAACACCTCCAATCCCCGATTGCCCCGGATTTCCCCTACTACATCCATCAAAGTTTAACTTCAAGAATCCACTAGGTGGGGGAGTCCAAGCCACATTCATTATTGCCTTGGTCTGTGTGCAATTTGCAATTTCACCCCACTTCCTCAACATGTCATCCACGGTGTAATCTGTGAATAGTTCCAAATATTTCAACCACTGTACCGCCCTAATATGTATGATAGTCCTCAGATCTGTTGCTCCTCTTTGGGTTTCTGAGAATATCCTAGAGTTTCTTTCCTCCCACAATGTCCAACATATTGCAACCCTTAGTCCTCTCCACATTGTCCTTCCCCTTTTTATCCGCCACCTGAAAAAGGTAGGGAAGAAAAGGACCTACCAGTCTGATGGGGGATTCCAACTGCATCCAAATAAGGAAGCCCAATCCCAAATTGACCTCGCAAAGTGGCAAGACACCAGTAGGTGAAAACCAATCTCCCCATCCGCTTTACATAGAACACACCACTGAGGTGACAAGCAAGTATTGGGTCTCTTCTTTTGGAGTAGATCACCAGTGTTGATTCTTTCCAGATAGGCTTCCCAACAAAATCTACCAACCCTAGGAGGTCTTTCTCTGCACCAAACCTCATCAACAGGGAAAGGGGGGAAGGTAGGACTGATGGACTGACTTAAGACTTTGAAGAACGAAGCACAAGAGAAGATAACATTGGGGGTAGGTGTCCAAATTCTAGAATCCACCCTAGTGGGGTCTAAGACAACATTATCAAGAAGTGCAATAAGGCTCGAAATAYTGTCRARGTCTGAGTCCCTCAAATCCCTTCTTARACCCAAGTTCCACCCAATCCCAAAAGTGGAAGAGGACGGGGTGATGAAAGATGAGATCGGCTCATTTTTCAAATTAGAAAGAGCACACAAAGAAGGAAATTGATCCTTTAAAGGGGCGCTCCCCACCCAGGTTTGTTCCCAAAATTTTATGGAATTACTGGAATTCAAGTCAAAACTGATATTAGGGGAGAAAACTGGTAGCAAGTCATGAATGGCTTTCCAAGGAGAATTGCTTGTGGTCCTAGCTCTGATTCCAACGTCCCATCCATTGTGCTCCAGCCCATGTATATTTGCCACTATTCTAGCCCACAACTTCTCCTTCTCCATAGGGAACATCCACAACCACTTCCCCGACAGAGTCATATTCCTTCTCCTGATACTCCCAAGCCCTACGCCACCACAAGACTTACTCCTACATACTATCTCCCAGCTAACTCTGTGATCCCTCTTCTCCTCTCCTGGCTCCCACAGGAAATCTCTCATAAGCTTCTCCAATATGTTAGCAACCTTCACTGGGATTTTAAACACCGATAGGAAAAAGATGGGTAAGTTAGCAAGTGTGGCCTTAATTAGTGTAATTCTCCCACCGAGAGAGAGGTAGTTCTTTTTCCAGGATACCAGTCTTTTTTCAAACCTTTCCACCATCGGGTTCCAAAAGCTCTCTCTCATGGGATTATCACCTAATGGCAACCCTAAGTAGTTCAAAGGCCACCCCGAACCTTCACACCCCAACAGTTCAGCACTCTCCCTGAGCTCTCCCTCCTCCAGGTTCACCCCCACTATACAACTTTTCCCAAGGTTAACCTTCAAGTTAGACATTTGCTCAAACAGTTGTATYACCAACTTCAAGTTCCTGATMAAGCTCACATTACCGCCTTCACAAAATAGAATCGTGTCATCAGCAAACTGTAAGTGAGTGAGGGGGGTTTCCACCCTCCCAACTCTCCAGCCTCTAATGAGCCCCCTATCATCTGCTCTGTGGATCAGTTTCCCCAGAACCTCCGCAATTAGAATGAACAAGAAAGGAGACAGGGGGTCTCCTTGTCTTATACCCCTACTGGCTRGAAAGAAATCTACCACTGTCCCATTCACTAGYAYTGAATAATGACAACTCCTGACACAACCCATGATCCACTTGCACCATCTAGCCCCAAACCCAAATTTAGTCAAAACTCTCCTCAAGAAATCCCAGTCCACCAAGTCATAAGCCTTTTCCAAGTCCAACTTACAAACCACTCCCTTCTTCTTATCCCTCTTAAAGTTCTCCACACTCTCATTAGCAATTAAAATCTGATCAGTAATTTGTCCTCAGATCTTTGAACCATCCAAACCAGATGTTCACCCTGACCTCCCAAGATCTAGTTTCTTGAATGTGATGTCTAGGAAAAAGTAGGAACTCATTATGAATATTGCTGTGCACAGTTGGAAAAGTCACTAGGAGTGCTAACTTGGGAGGGCTGAGGTTAAGCTTTTGTCACATTATCTATGGGCCCAGCCCCTAGCCCAATGCAGTGTAAAACCTTCAATTTGGGTATCAAAGTGGCAACCTTAAAAGCCACAACAATATAGTACCACCCTATCAATTGATTCAATTCAAGCTCTAGAAAATAATCAGCTAGAGATCTATTAAAAAAAGTATCAGCTATAGAATGTCTGACCTTTGGACCATCCAAACAAGATGTTAACTCTGACCTCCTAAGCTCTAGTCTCCTGAATGTAACGTCTAGTAATAAATAAGAACTTGTTATGAATAACTAGACTCAAGTCATATCAGAGCTCCAATCCATCCTACAATGTGCACAGTTAGAAAAAGTCACCAGGAGTGCAACTTGGGATGGATCAAGTTAAAAGTTTTGTTAAATTTTGAATAGGCCCAGCCCCTAAATGCAGTGCAGAATCTTCAACTTGGGAATCTGAGTTGCACCCCTAAAGGTCACAACAAAGCCAATCAAATGGAAGCATCAATAAAAACATTTCCAAGAATAAAATGCAAGAATCCACTATGAAGAACCAAGTTTAGTGCAGAATCCACTCCGGCTCGCCTGCCTCCACTTCAACAAGACCCCCCCTTTCAACTAGTGATATGCATCTTTGTTCTTCTTAGTATAAAAGATTTTTATTAAAAATAATCTTATACGAGATCCATTGTGAAGACACGATTGCACTTTCTGAAAATGAAACAATGCAGTCCTAGCGAAGCCCACACAAAATGAGCAAACAAGGACATAGAACCATAATCCTCGGACAACACTAATTACAATCATTTTATATCTTCAGGTCCAGCGGGATTTAAAGGATAAAAAAATCCTGAAAGTACTGAGACAATAATGAGGGTAAGGGAAATGAAATCAGCTTATTCGTGAAATTATGACCAGTGTTACAAAAAAATATATATAAAAAACAAAGATACTCACAAAGCTATCGACCTTCAAAATACCTTTTACTGATCATAAACTAACCTTGATGTCCTCGTTCGAGACGCCATACTCTAAGTTGGAGATGTAAAGCTTGGTGCCAGTTTCTATTGCAGAAGTTCGAGCCGCCTGCGCCGGATAAGCCGCCGCCTGATCTGTGAACATATCGTGCTGCCATGCTGAATCGGGAGCTTGAACCGGCTGCGTATACAACGATGAATACAAATCAAAACAGCTAAACGAGATCCAAAAGAAGACAGGCATGGAACCAAAACCCTAACCTTGTCCTCGATCACGGGAATCCAACAAACAAAAAAGACATGGAACAAATATGAAATACCCTAACTAACCTTTCCCGTCGAATAAGGCGCCGTTCGATTAGCACCGCGATTCGGGAATCGACGAGATGGACCGGGGCCTGAACCTCTGCCTCTGCCTCTGAAATTACCCCCTCCAGATTTCTTGTTGTTTTTTATCAGATCCTCAAGAGTCATGTCCAAAGCACTGGACATCTTTGAAAATACTTAAATTGGATGAACAGAGATGGCAACGAATAACCAGAGACGCACGGTGAAAAGAATTGAGCGTTTTGTTGATGATAAATGAGATCAACTTCTGAATAACGTTAGGGTTTTGGGGACAGGGGAGAGGAGGTAATTAGGGTTTTTGCATGGAGGGACAGGCAAGGAAGGTGCAGAAAAATATTTGGGGGGAAAAACAGATCCAAAGAGCCAAAATTAATCCTAGGGACATTTATATATCATACAAATAGTAATAGATATCCACTTGTCAACAAATCGGGTGTCGTGGTGTAGTTGGTTATCACGTCAGTCTAACACACTGAAGGTCTCCGGTTCGAGTCCGGGCGACGCCAGTTTTCATTTTGTTCATATTTTTCATTCATATACAAGTTTTCTTTTTAAGAGGTTTTGTCTTGTTTTCCTACTCTTCTCTTATTAACTGTTTGTTCCGTGTGAAAAAATAAATGGAGTAACATTATATAACCTAAGAAAAGAAATGAAAAAGAAAAACAGAATAAGGTTTTGTTACTTTGGAATTGACAAAACATTTGCCTTTCTGTTTGACCTATCACATAATTAATGTGGCAAAGAATGCCCCTCTAGCTAATGACGTCAATATGTATGTATTGAAGGAAATCCTTTTCCTTTGTTCGTAGTTAATGAAAACTCTTATTTCTTTGAGCCAAAAAAAAAAAAACTGGAAGCAGCAGTTGCTTAGAATATAATGAATTATTGATTGTCCTAACCTTGGAAAATTCATAAGATTTTTTATTAAATAAAAAGAAAAAAATAATCTGGGTAAGATGGATCAGACAAGAAGATAATGGAAATGGAAAAGGTTCTTCATGCTGCACGATCTCGGCACTCCTAGTTGGCCGGGACTTGGCTCCTAGCTGTGATGGACGGCACTTGAGAGGAAGAGGAAAATGAAGGGTTCCCGGGGAGCTCTCTCGACGGGAACACCCTGATAGCTAAGTTAGAACTCTGAGGAAAACTCAAGGAAAACACTGAGAGTTAAGAGTGCTGAAAGTGCTAGCTTCAATACCTTTGCTTAGTGAGGGTCGGGGTCCTCTTATACCGGAGCTCAGTCATATCAGGCGTAACCGCCACTACCCTAGTCGTTAGTGCCAGGACTGAGGTGGTAGGCGCAGGCTGCTGCTGCAGGGTACGGACCCGTCAGGCGTGCCATGCTTTTCAAAGATGGCAGGCACGACACCGCCTGGCAAGAGAAGTGGACGCTGCCACCAGATCCGACGGGTACGGATGTCAGGCGGATCTTCCCTGCAAGCTGTTGAGCTACTTTGCACCGAACCGCCTGGGGTGCTCCCTTCTTAGGAAGGGAGAGCTCGGAAACCCTTAGGAGGAGCTCGGGTCTCAAGGGGAGCTCGGGTCCCTTTGCATGGAGGGAGCTCGGGGCGCTCCACCCTCAGGCTTGGGGCGAGCTGGGCCTTGCCTCTCGATGAGTTGTCACACCTGCCAAGTCATTTGGTCGGGCCTCGGCGAGCTTGCTACACCGAATTGTGGCCAGGCTATCGCGCTGAGTTGTCACTTATGCCAGGTCATGTCCACGTGTCCCCGTGCTACGAGGTCGGGCCAAATCACCCTACATCAATTGCCCCCCACTCCCCGTGCTAGGGGTTTTGACCCAGCGCGGGGAGTCCGCGGTCTGCTGGGTGGATTTGGTTCGGGGCCTAAGCTTTCTTGTCCACCAACTCATCGGTTGGACCGGTTCTCTGCTCGGCTCTACTAGGTGCAGCTCAGGTCACGTACGGTCTACGCGCGGACGTCACGCGACTTATGGGACGTCAAAAAATGGGCTAAACCGATTTCGCCTCGAAGGTCGCACAGCTGGTTTTCATGAGGACCGTCAGATTGTTTCAATCTCAATCGTTGATGCCCGTGTATAGTGGCTATAAATAGTGAGGGTCCTGGCCATTTTCCTTCACCACAAATCCTCAGTCGTAGTCTTGAGATCACGTCCAAAGCCTCCAGCTCGGGTCAGTTCTTCCCAGTCTGGTTTCATCTTTCCTTGGTGAATCACCCTAGCCCCTCTTCAGTTTCATTAGTTATGCCTTCCTTTGATAGTCAGCTAGATGAGCCCGAGGTGGGTACCTCGGCTCAGGGTGACCCTACTGGAGTGCAGTCCTCCGAGGTGCGGGAGGCCTCGGGTAACTTGGCGTCCACCTCTCACCGAGGTCGGATGCCGGACAGGTTCGGGCCCTCCACCATGACCCTGGAGAGGCTCTGCTACCTTATTCAGCAGTACAACCTGCCCAGGGAGTACACCTACAGTTTACCTACGGGTAACTTCCCATGGGAGCACGACCCTGATGAGGTCGTAATCTTCCGGGAGCAGCTCATAGCCGGGCTCCGCCTTCCCTTCCATACACTCATAGTGGAGGTCCTGAACCACTTTAATGTTATGATAGACTAACTTCACCCGAACACGGTCCGTAACGTGGTCGGGACCATTTCCCTCTGTTACGACTATGTCCTCCCCCTTGACTTGGACATATTCTGCTTCATCCTCACAATCAAGAAGAGCACTTCATGCGTTCTCCCCGAGCACAGGAGGGCCTATTACTTGTCCCCTCGCCCGGGCTTCAAGTTAATGCATAAGCTTCCGAGCAAGATCCCAGCCTGGAAGCAGGACTACTTCGTAGTCCGGAACCCTGCAGGGTGGCCCTTCCCTACTCACTAGAGGGCGGCCATCCAAGACCCCGGCATCATCCTTGACAAGAAGACAAGAGAGACATTCCAGTCGTGGACTGAAATCGGGTGTAGTTACAAAGATTACATCACCAAGAGCAAGCTCATCTAGGCCGGCTTGAGCCCGGGTAGGTAGTTAGTACCTTAGTTGTTCAGCTTGCACCTTCCTTTTCTTTTACTCGAGTACTAATGCCGAGCTCTGTTGCAGGTCCTATGGAGGCGGATAAGCTTAAGGGAGATAGACTCTTCAGGCACATGAAGGGGAGGAAGAAGCGGGCTGCTAAGAGAGCTCGGGTCGAGTCACCGCCAGCCCCCACTCCCGAGCCCAAGCTTCCACCAGTTCCATCTTCTGAGCCCGAGCTCCCTGGCGCTCCTCCGATCATTGACCTGGAGGAGTCCATACCACCTCGAGAGCCCGAGACCTCAGCCAAGCCCGCTACGAGGGCAATAGCTGAGCCCGTGGTTGCCACCGGGGCTGTTGACGTAGCCGCTGAGGTCTCTATCGAGCCCATTCGTACAGCTGAGACGGCGGTCTCCAGCTCGGGGAGCCCGAATGGGGGCCGAGGTATCTTGGTCCCCCAGTGTGGCCTTCGGAAAAGCAAAGGGGTCGTTTACTCCGAGGAAATTTTAGGCTGGGCTGATATGCTCAACCCTGCTCAGCTCGGAGCTTGAGCTGCTACCCACACTATGGTGGTAAGATCTCCTTTCTTTCTCCCTTTCTTTTATATGTATGTTTCTTCGGTACTAACCAACTTTCTTTGTTAGGCGAAATCCGCTGTGCACGCTCTAGCTCTTCAGTCCAAGAGGAACCTGAAGCGGGCTCTGACTGTCGAGGAGTCGTCACGCGCAGTTCATACCGATCCGAGGGCAGCTCGCGAGCAGATCTACCGGTTGGAGAGCGGCACCAGGGCTCCGAGGGACGTTATTGCGGCGCTGACAGCGAAGAAGGACGAGCTTGCATGCGAGAAGGATGTGCTAAGGGGCGAGGTGGAGGCCCTCAAGGCGGAGTTGGCACGCGAGAATGGTGCGTTGAGGGAAGAGCTGGACGCCCTCAGGGCAGAGGCGGAAGGCCTTAAGGAGAATAAGAAGGCCCTCCTGCACGAGGTGGAGTTCCTCAAGGCTGACATCGAGGAGAAGACTGAGATCTTTACTCAAGCCATAGAGAAGACAAAGATCAAGGATGTTAAGGAGTATATCCAGTCTGACAAATTCGATGCCGTTCTTGGGGAGGCCTACCGCAAGGGGTTCAAGCTCAGCAGGTGGCTGATAAGGCACACATACCCCGAGCTTGACACGAGTGCCATCACCACCTCGCGAATCACAAATGAGATAGCTCATCAAGCCACAGAGGATCCGGATTCAGAGGAGGAGTACGATGACGAAGAAGCGGACACCCCTGATCAGCATGAAGCTCCTGAGGAGGTCTCGCGCGGAGACGAAGAATCCCCGAAGTGATTGTCTTTGTATTCCGAGCCTGCGAGCTCAGTCTTTGTTGTTTTTTTTTTTTGTCGAGCTCATTGTACATAACTTACTTGTTAATGAAATTGACCTTTCTTTTCCAAGTGTTGTTTTATCCGAGCTATCATGGTTGAGTGTGCGAAGTGATTGTCATAGCAAGGCATAGTAAGGCATATGACCGAACTGTCTTGTGGCGTACACCGAGGTGATTGACATAGTAAGGCATATGCCCGAACTGCCTTCTGGTTGTATGCCGAGGTGGGCTAAGCGTCGCAGAATCTAATGGTCTGCTTGCGCCCTCGATACATTATGTACTGTTGCGCCGAGCTCCTTGGTCAACTCGGTGTTTTAGCCCCTTGGCCGGGGAGGAGTGGCTTCAGCCACCCTTAGAATTCGTTCGTCATGGGGGCGGCTAGGTTATTATGTCGGAGTTTGTTAGTTCAGCATTTTGGCCCTTAAGCCCTGAGAGTGACTCGTGGTCTGCTCTTGGAGTTCGCCCATGGCATAGAAGTGACTGGGTTTTATTGCGCCGAGGTTTTTGTTAGCTCGGCATTTTGGCCCTTGAGCCCTGAGAGCGACACGTGGTCTACTCAGTTATTTATAGGTAATACTGGCTTAGGTTGATAATATTCCATGCCCGAGGTACTTGTTTCCCTTCCAAGGTTTCAAGCTCGTATGTTCCTTCCCCGAGTACTCGCTTTACTCGGTAGGGTCCTTCCTAGTTCGGACCGAGCTTACCAACACCAGGCTCAGGCACCATAACCTTACGGAGAACCATGTCGCTAACACGGAGAGTCTGCTTTTTGACCCTGGTGTTATAGTATCGAGCTACCCTCTGCTGGTAGGTCGCGGTCCTGATGTATGCGAGGTCTCGTACTTCGTCAAGTAAGTCGAGGTTGGTACGTAGCTCGTCTTCATTTGCCTTGTCATCATATGCTTCTAGTCTTAGCGAGGGAACTTCGATCTCGACTGGAATGACTGCTTCGGTGCCGTAGGTGAGGTTAAAGGGGGTTTCTCCTGTGGCAGTCTTTT